ATATATATAATGTCTGACGAGAGAGAGAAAGAATATATGGAATAATTATTCACTTGGAACGAATGAGTTTCTCCAAGGGAGTTGCGGCCATGTCCGTGCATTCTTTGCTCGGCCCCTCCAACTCCGAATCATTTCCGGAATTTGACCTAGTGTCGACGGTCAGAATGGCATGGCTTCCACCGCAAGTGAAGTATTGGATCTCGAACCTTAGAAAGTTTTTAAAATAAAAATTGAAAGGTTAAAAAATAAAATTAAAGGGTTAAAATAAAAATTAAAATAAAAATTTTACTTCGATTCTTTCTCTTACCGTCGCTCCGCGTGATAATTTCTGAGCAGCTCGCGATTCGTATTGAACAGGACGCCGTGATGGCCGTTGCAAAGGGTGACCCAAATCGGCAAATTGGGGGTCTTCAAGCGGGAGCCGGGTTGTTTGCTCGATTGTCCGTCGCCCTCGTGCACCAGGAATCCTACCTCGCTCCTGGCGAGGACGCCCCATTGCGGTACAGCCTTGAAAGTAAAAATCGAGAGAAAGAAGAGGAGGAGGAGGAGGAGGAGGAAACTTACGTATGTGTTTTCATCCCCAACGTGCAACACCCCGTTGTGAAGGTGAGGGGAGGCACGGCCCGTCAACGAGAAGATCACCACGCTCGTGGAGCCCTCCTCCGGGCAACCGCTCAACATCGAACCCCTTGGATTTTCCAGATCGATCTTCACTCTGGGAAAAGAATTTTGTATTGTCGTTTATCGACTCGAGAAGGAGTAGACGATGTTTATATTTACTTGGAAAGCCCTCTGGAGAGTACAGCGCTGTACAGAAGCAATATAGCACCGGGACTACCCTCGTCTTGAAACTGTTGGATTATGGATCGTTATTGATATATATTCGAGAAATCGTGTTTAATGAACTTACCAAGTACAAGTATCGCTTGACGAATATCTCCAAGTCGTCCAAAGATTCAAATTCGAACAAATGGAGCTAAGAATTGGAAAATTCGTTCGATATATTCTTGGATTCGCGAAGATGAAGAAGACACGATGATAATTATGAAGAGAGATGATAATATCTTAGAATAATCGTTTGTTTGAATTATTATTTTGAATCACTTTTTTAAAGTTGCTTCCTAAAACTCGAAACAATTTGAGAAAAATATCTCGATAAATCTAGCAGACAGAGAAAAAATAAATTCTGAAACACATCCAAAAATTTCCAATCCAAAAACACTTTGCTCGCGGATATAGACATGCGACGATCAACAATCGAAAGAGTAGTGTTACAGAATTTAAAGTTCACTGAAATTTTATATGTGATTTCACTATTGAATTTGTTTCTCTTCGATACATATACTTCAAATATTTTGTAAACAGATACGCACAATCACGTGTAATCAAATATATTCATTCAGCTGTATCCATATTTCATTTATTTTATTGTTGGCCAGTCAACAAATAGAATTTCAAGAATCGATCGTATCGAGAATAAATGGCACGAGTTTTAAGGATTTTTATACGTACGGTCTCCGTGAGACCATCCTGAAAGTATTGCACGCTGTGCTGCACATAGGGTGTCTCTTGCGGCAAGACAACCACAGCCGTGGACACGTTCTCGTTTCCGCTTTGATTCGACGAGCAACCGATATTTTGCACGGCAAACCCGCCCGCGCAACGCCAAATAATCTCCGCTATGGTGGACGTCAGCGCGTCGATCTGCTTGTCGTACGACGGCCTCAACAGGCTAGGTTAAACCAGCAAAAGGTAACGAAATTTCCTTTCGAGGAAAAAGAGAATAATAATAATAATAACAATCTTTTAAAAACCTTTCAGGGCCAACGTGGCTATCCTGTTTAGATTTGAAGAGGAAATGCTTGAGCATCACGGCTTGTACAGCCGTGACCAGGGCCCTGGTCGTGTTCCTCGGCGCTCGCAATCCAAACGCCAAGCTTTGCCCGTAAGGTCGCAACGTGAATCCGGTCCTCGCCCATTCCGGCCTCGGTGGGGTGGCACAACTTCCGAAAACCAACGTTCTTAGAGCCTGAGAAACGCGTTTGAACGCATTTTTAAAAAATTCAAAAGGAAAAAGAAAAAGAAAGATCAACGAATTACCATGCATGTCTTCTCGTCGATTGGTTTGCCTCCGACGACAGCTGTTTTGGTCAACGTTCTCGTATTCCTGGGGTATATAATCTTTTCTGGAAAAAAAGAAAAGAAACAGATATAGATGAAAACGTTGCTCGGTTAATTCTTTTCTTCGAAAATTTCCACCTGGATACAACTCGTCGGGTTCCGCCATCAGAGCTGCACACCTCGCCGATCTGGTAGACAGCGACATTGAAACGCGATCTTAATTCTTTTGAGTAGAGGAGGGATATATATATGTGTATATAAAAAAATAAAAAGAAAGAAAAGAAAATAGGGAAATCTTTTCACGAATGAATTCAAAGACAAAGAAATATATATGTATTTAAAGAAGATGTTTCAAATAGGGAAAGATGAAAAGTTGGAGAGATTATGTCACCGACGACGATGCTCACTGGCACAAGCCTCGCATCAAACTATCAAATATCAATTCGTGCCGAAATCCAGCCTTTTATATAAACCGATCCTAGGATAGGAAGGCGACCAAAGTTTCGAGCCGCACGAAACGCGTCACTTTGGACGTCCAAAGACACTTTGCTCGCGGATATAGGCGATAGACATGCCCTAATAACGTCTATCTGTCGTATTTGCCGTGTAAACGATGTGTCTCGGCCTCATGCAACCTGCTCAACCCTTTTCTCTCAACGGCGCCCATAAGTAGCAAAATAGTTGCTTTTCCCTCTTTTCGTTCGGGGAATAAATTTCAAACGCGAACGTGAACGGTGCATTTTCATGAGATTTCATGCGCGTGAAGCATGGAAGCGCAGTTTCTCGCCAGTTTGGAATTATAGCGATATATAACACTGTTACATATAACACTAATATTATACGTATTTATTATACACATCATGCCGAAGATCATTTTTAATAAAGAAAATTATATAATCGAATCATTAAACATATATTAGATTTGGTAGATGGATATGAAAGTTGTCGCAAAATTGGATTAATAGGGATAAATTTTTCTGCGCAGTTGTTGTGCGCAATTACTCGAACCGTTGGATACAAAACTAGCTTCCGCAATCTTGTATCTAGAACGGAGGTTAATTGACAACGGAAAATAGTATATCTTTTTTTAAACCGTAATAATAATCCGTAAGTTTAACCGTAAAGTAATCACATATATCGGATCTGTACCTATATGTCGTTTTTGTATCGTTGTTTCGCGTGACACGTGAACTTTAAAAAAATGTATAAACATACAAATACGTTACGAGAATCGGCCGCTCTTAACCTATTTTCTGTTACGAGATTCACTTCTCTCCTCGTATAAATACGTAATAGTTTCGGTACCTGTCTCTGGTTATTTCTTTGTAAAAAAAAAAGTAACATTCTTCTTTTCCAGGAAAGAAAATTGAACCCTATTATCCAAATTTAATTTTAATCAAAAAAAAATATCATTTTTTTCTTTTAAATATCTATCATTCCTTCGCCCATCTCTATCAATCTATCGTCGTATGATACGAGTAAAATACATCGCGAAATTCGTATAGAAGTAAAGAATAATCGAAATAGAATTTTGCACCATAAAATGATGTAATGACGGATCGTAATAACATCTTATTTCACAGACCAAGGAATAACGGGGATTTGCACTCTGACACGTACGTATATATATATATATATATATACAGTCTCGAACGTACTTTTCAGAATCGCGTGCTCGCGTGTAATCGAGTCTATCGAATTACGAATTCGCGTCGGAGCAAGCATCTGCATTTCCAGATTACACCTACCGATGTAATGCAGTTTAATTTGCCCTCTCCCCTCCAGAGATTCATTGATCTAATTCGAGCAGCTAGCACTTGACGATTCTTGACGACAAAGTCATCGATGAAACCGTGTTTCGAGAGGATGAAATTTAATTCATTCGGTGAGTATTTTCCGCTTTCCACGCATTATTATATCGTATACGCGAGTAACGAGTACTATTACTATTTTAGTGCGTCGAACCGAGTTGAGATAAGATTATACGTGCTCGTAACTTTTGCATTATGTATCAAAGAAACAAAGATTTCCTGTGTACAAAGGATAAGTTTTGAATAGTTTGGTTTTTTTTTTTTATCTATCGAGTATATATATATCAAGTGAAATTTAATGAATTATCGATCGATAATTGGTGAGCAATAATAGCACGTGCGATGATAAATTGCAGTTTTGCGCGCAATTAGGAAAATTTGAAATTTTCGTCGCTGATCAATCATCGGGCGAATCAACGAAATCGCGTTTGGACGAGGAATTGTGTACCGATTCCTCGAGCATCGATCTTCTTAATTCAGTTTAAAGTTCATTTGCGAACAAGTTCCTGATCGATCTGATATTTGCAAGCAACATAGAGAATCGTACCTTTCTGGCGAAGGTACGCCGGCTTCTCCGAACGCATTTCCGTGCACCGTTTCTTGCCACGCACCGACGCCGATGACGAACACGTGGATGTTGAACACGAGTTGCTACTCTCCTCGATTTCCTCCGATCTTTCCTCCATATCTTCCACTTTTCTTAAAATCCACACGCGAGACTCGAAAACGCTTTAAATTTCTTCTAACGATCGACACTTAAAACCCAAAATGGCTTCGTTTGAACGTAACGACATCATCGAAACGATTCATTAATTCTCTGTATGGAAAACGATTGTAATTTATTAGATAGTCTTGAATAAATTTAATATTTTTAACATTTTTTTTTAGAAAGATATCGAAGAGACTATATCAAAAAAGGGGATTTAAGATTATGCGAGAAGAGTTTTCAAGTGTCAAAAGTTAACGTCTTTCGCGTTTGAATCTTTATGAAATCGGTTTTTCTTGAAATGGTGTTAACAAGTGGAAGAAGCAATCAAGTGTTCTTTGCTGGATCGAGCTACCTAGACTGACAGGAGTTAATAATTCTGGTAGCTTTTGAGTCGGTTCATCGCGCCGCGCACGAGCTACCATCCCACCAAGGTGTCGGATACGTATATGCATAATACCATGAACTCGAGAATTTGAAGGCTCGAGTAATATAACGTTTCAGGAAATCCGTGATTCAATAGCTGAAAAAAAGGTTTCGTGCGTCAGACTGACGTCCAAAGTTTTCTTAACTAAAATCTTAACTATTTAGCATCCAGTTAAAATTCTGATATTGATCGATGAAAATATCAAAAGATTTATTATTATTTTATATGACATAAAAATACAAAAATTTATTTATATATAATATAAAGATAGAAATAAAAAGCATATTATGTATAAAATATATATAAAATTTATATATGACATCAATACAAAAAAATATATGATATAATATGATATGATAAAATATAAATAAAATATATATAATAAAAATGTAATTTTTTTTCTTTGGTATTTAATCGGTAACGCTATCTTTTTGGAAAGTATTCAAGCTTGTTGCGAATTATTATCGACACTAAAATGAATTTTATTGATGGTGTTTAACTACTAGTGCCATCTTTTTAAAAAATATTCAAATTGTTTAATATTGCATTAATGTTGTTAGTATCTTTGATAGAGATCGCAGTTTAGTTTAATTCATAGAAAAAATTTCTTGATTTTATTCAAATAATATACTTTATTGTCATTAATTATGTAAAAAGTTTAAATATATTTCAAAGAGATGATATTATTAATCAAAGACCGTTAACGAAAGTAATTTTGCTGTCGGTAAGAATTTGCAACAAGTTTAAGTATTTTTTAAAAAGATAGTGCTATTAAGCTAAAAAAAAAAAGGAAAAAAATGTATTTTTAAAAATATTGTAAATACATATATTTTTTATATATAAAGATTATTCTCTGAAATCCTTGATCAAGTTAAATGTACTTTTATATATACATACATGCAATCTCGTAGAATAATTATTTCGATATCGCAACCTAATTCGCCTCACACTGTCTCACTTTTATCGTAGTTACCAATCTTTGCATGAATTGTATGCAGAGTTTCATTCGATCGAAATAGATAATTATGAACAATATTTCTTAAAAGGTAATAAATTGAAAGAATGAATTAGTTTTTGTCTTTTTTTTTGTATGATATTATTAAATTTAAATAATTAGAATTAAAAAGGAAGATATCTTTAACAATAAAATACATGCAGAATTTTTGTATATAAGTAAGTAATTAATATATTAATAATTGAAATATGTTGTTTCGATTAAATTTAAAAAATTTATCATTAAATTAAATATTATCAGATTATAATTTATATATCATTTAGGTACAATTCTACACTTATATTCTTATTCAGTCATCAAACTTCGTGACGGCAACATGATTAATCCACTCTATCGTAATTATCAATTTTATTGGACTAATTAAATTCAAGTTCATGTTGGTTTGAAATAGGTACTTTATATTCGGCCTTCAAAAGTTTCGAATTCGAGTATATCGTGTATTTATATACTGTATGTGCATGCACACTTGAGATATGATGCAGAAATATGCGCATACAAGGTTAATGTTTGCATACAAAGTTTCATAATATATATCATAATTAAAAAATATAATAATACTCGTATTAAATATGATATTGATGAAGATTATGTTATTAAAATTAATATATTTATAAATTATATTTAAAAACTTGAAGTTGGATATCTTTTTAATATTAATCATTTAAAAATGAGATTTAAAGATTTTCTTTTAGTACTTGATATCTAAAAAATAAAACAATGATTATTATTTTTGACTGATTTAATTATTCGATAATTTATTGATATGTGAATAGAAATTATTTGTATGATATATTATTAAAGTACAAAATAAATTGAACTTAGTCTAGGCTGATTGGGAGGCGTATTATTAGAAACGAGGTTACAGATTATGTGCAACTACGACTATTTGATTATTGAATAATCGATCGAATTTATATGTTCTTGCAAAGATAATTATAATCAAGTTTAAGATATTTTCTATATTATTTATATATTTTTGTATAAACTTGACACAAAAAATATAAATATAAATCTTAAATGTATATTAATATATAATATTATACAATTAGTATTAATATATAATATTATACAATTAATATTATACAAATAGAATATTTAAATATATTTTACAATTACACAAGTATCAAAAATTTACAAAGTAAAAACGAAAAAAGAAACATGTTCTGTTTTATGTATTAATCAAAATATTATTAATAAATAATAATATATTTTATCACAAAAATTGAATAAATGACAAATTTTTATAATCATTATTCAAAAAATCATCTTACATATTTACAAATTTGTTCATATGGTAATTTTTTTACTATAGTATTATCATTTTCCAATTTTACATCTATACTGTAATGTTCTATGTGAAGCTTATGCACAATACCCTTCATTGCCTTATATTTTCCCCAAAGAATTATAACTTCTTTTCCTATAGCAGGTATTACAGTCTCTAGATACTCTTGATCTATTTTTATAACATGATTCTCAACTTCTTCGGGCGATCGCAATTTGACTTTTCCAATGAAATTCGAATTTTCAACAGATTGAATAATGCCTTTAGACTTATAATATTTATCCCCAAGAGTCTTAGTTATTACTTTTACCATTAAACCCTCTCTTAACCATCCTTCTGTATTATCATTATCATTATTAAGTTTTGATTCACCTTTTTCTATTTTTGCTGAACTCGTTTCCTTATCTGTATATTCTTTATTTGATTCCTCAGACTTTATATCAGAAATCATGGAAGTCGATTCATTACTGGTAGAATCTTTATCTATTTTTTCTTGTTTTATAATGGGAAGTAATTTTGGTTTTTTATTTATTTTCATATTAAGGACTAAAGGTGCATCATTGTCAAGTCGTTTAAGTGGCTCTTTAATATTTTCAGATTGTTCGTTACTTTCTTGTTGGCCTTTTTCTACTTGTTTTTCTATAAATTCCATCATTCTTTCTTCATCATCTTTATCCATTTTTTGTTTTTTAGCTTTTCTTTCTTGCGCTGCAAGTGTTTCTGGATCCCTGTCAATATATGTTACATACCAGCCTAAAAACAAAAGAAGCAATAATTAATATTACTTTTATTTAATTAAATATTTATTATTAGTAGAAATATTAAATTTTATACAAATTACCTTTCTCTGTTTCATCGACAACACACTGTCCAGTACGTCCAAGCCATTTAACAAATGCAGTCAATGTAAGCCAAATTGTAGCATTCATATGTATATGTCCCCGGTCTGAGATATATTCTTGATAAACGCGATTAGCAGGCACCCTTCTGGTACCAAATTGTCTTTTTAGTAAATTTAAATAACCCTGAGAAAACTCTTTTGAAAACTGATCCATATAACGAGAAGCATTATCAGCAAATAACAGTAATTGTCTATGATGAGATTCTGACATTGTATGACACTTGAATCCATTTTCGTCTCTGCACTGTTTTTGACACATTTGACAATACCATCTTAACTTTTGCAAACCTTTTGCCTTAATTTTATTAGCAATATATTTTGGTGTTCCTACTTCGTGTTTACCCATTTTGATACCTAACTAACCTAAAATTCGTACACTGTGTACATATCGCAAATTAGTAGGATTCTGCAAGTATAGAGGGCAGAATCGTTACTATATATGCGATACTAGTGCACTCTATGTTATCTATAAAATTTTCTTTATTTGGTATAATTATTTTTTATATATTTATTAATAATGTTTTATTTCAACAATAAAAATTTCAATAGTATAAATCTTTCATAATTAATTAATTGAAATTAACATGTGATTTTTCGGTCATTTTAACATAACCTTTTTATTTTATTCTATTATTCTATTTATATAATTATATTATTATTTCTTTTAATTTGTAAATTTTTATTGGTAAAAAAACAATAAGATTTTTTCTATATTAAAGAAATAAATGTAAAAAAATGAAAAAAATATTCGAAATTAGAGGAATCTTATTTATATTAATTAATTGTTGAATAATTGATAATTTTTAAGAATTAAAAATAAATTAGAATTAAAAATAGATTATGCCAAAAATTATAATAATTAGTGACAAAAAAAATTAAATAAATGTAAGTAAATAACTTACATACCTGTATATAATGTAGATAAGAAATATATTAATTGAAAAGAAAGAAGAAAATAATTAAAACCAAAAATTAAATCTAAAAAAGAAAAAAAAAGGTAAATTTTTAGTCCTTTTTATTTTTGAAAAAATTGTTATTCTTTTTTTTTGTTTTTTTAGGAAGAAATTTATTAAAAGATAAAAAAAATAAAACAATTATTTTCTTTATATTGTTATACTGAGATACATTCCCTATTCGATATCAATAAACATGTAGGGGTAAACGTTTGGCGAAAATACGAAGTGATCGAATACCCACACCCTCGAGTAGGAGTGGTCGGTTCTGTTGTTAAAGTAAATCCGTTTCGACATGATAAACGACGTTTGCGGATTATTAAAATCGTTGCAGTCTGTTTGCGTTTACTTTTCTAAAATCACCATCTTTAATCCATCCCATATGCCTTGGTCAAGGGAATCCATCTTTTTGTTTTCATTCAACCATTTCCAATTGTTCTTCTTCAAATATTATCAATATTATTCTTATAATTTTATAAAATTGATATTAATATATTTTTTTTTATAAATTAAAGAAAAACAAAAATAATATAATATTTGTAAATCGAGAAGATTTTTTTTAAAAGTTACTGCATTTATATTATCATATGCATATTGCAGATTCGATCGCAATGACTGGAATAATTTAATCGACAACAAAGCTGAGGTATCTCTTACGAATGTTAGTTAACGAAAGAGAAGAGGATTAGAGATGAACACGGTACTTGCACCCATCTAAAACTGGTCTCTCCGTCCCCTGGGTGCAATATATCAATTCTCTTCACCCCACCAATGTTGCACGGTAGCAGGTGGCTCCTGACGGCCACGCTCGTTCGCACCCTTAATTCCCAATTAATGTTATATCCGTCGTGAACGTATGCTTTACCTATGTTGCATAAGTTGTAATACTGAATTATATATTATAAATCATGATAAATAAAAAATATAAATTAACGTAATGGAAAAAAATCTGAAGCACTTTATGCACAATTTAATGAAAGTTTTTCTTTCTTTTTTTTTTCTTTTATTATTTCGAAATAATAATATTAATATATATATTTATAACATATAATTCTAAAATTTTTCACTTTTATTAATCATGATTAAACGGAATTTCGAAAGAAAATAAATTTTCACTTTTAAATATTATCTTTTATTGTTGTATATAAGAGAAATTTAATTCTGATTTCAGAGACTCTTTAAGCATAATTTTCGCAAATTAAGAATCGATTAAGAATGGCTCTCAGAAGTAACTGTCTATCTTCACCGAATTACGAGCTATCGAGTTTCAAGATTACCAAATTTCACGGTCTAACGCCTCCATCTGGAATAGTATGGGGTCTATCAGGGGTGTAGTGTAATTGAGGTATCATCCCTGTCCACGTCCTAATTGGCGGAAAATTGTTAGGGCGAATGTCCAAGAAACTCGAGTTAAATATATTTAATCAATTCTTTCAATTATTTCATTATATTTCCTTTTTTTTTCGAGAAAATTCAAATTATGATTCATAATTGATAAAAGCAATCTTTTAAATTCTTTTTTCATTCAATACAATTGAATTGACTGATATCCTTAAAAGTAAAATTTGGATTAAATATCTATTTATATGATTTCTATTCATGAGAGTATCGACTTGTCTGAATTTGATAAGTCTCCCACTTGAATCATAACCACGAGATACGTGGTGATCGTTCCAATAACCTAGAAAATCACAGATTATGTTAAGTATATATAAATTTTATTCGATCAAATATACGTACTCCTTGGATAAACGAATGATCCAGATTGAAGAATCCGTATGCCGTAAATACCACTGGATTTTGTATCAATTGTAGAGTGAAATCTCGAATCTAAAAGGATCATTTTCAAACCTTAAATTAACATTTTATATGAATTTTATATTTTTCTTTCGTATTCGAATTCAAATTTTTACCTCCGCTTGAAATTCTTTAGTTGTGAATGGTTCATAAAACTCACAAATAATATTGCCAATATTTACTGCCTGTAAAAATTTATAATTCGATTTTAAATATACACGTAATATATCTTCTTCTGAAAGACTTATCAATTTGCATTCAATATATTCAATAGAAAATGCTCATACCTCTGAGTTAGTGCTGGCACAAACGTGATTCACGTACAAGATTTGGGACCCATAGATCAATATCCAAAAAATCACGGAGATCAATTCTTGTACAAGCTGATTGATGGTAAAATGCAGCCATATAATCCTATACAACAGGTGGAGAAGATTGGTGGTGAAGATAACCGACACTGTCATCTGTATCAGGATCTGTATTCCGAATGTTTGATTCAGAAGGCTCACGATCTTGATTATCTCCAGATGGATTTGCCTTTGTGAAAAACGAAAGTATAATCGTAAATCGGTAAATTTTTATTTAATGATAATTCTCATTTTGATCTCGTCTCACTTTACTGCTCTTATAGTGTTCGTGTTCCTTATTACGTGTTCATTCCTGTACAAAGTGAATCTGTTGTTCTCGAAGTTGTTCGTCATTTCCAACACTCTTTTGTGAATTGGCGATTCTATGGTTCTCATACTACGAAGTAACTCGTTCAACTGATGAAACTTTAATTTCAAACACCTGAATAACGTACGTATTTTATTTTTTAACGTTTCGTTGAAATATCACTGTTTAAATCAATCTTAAGGCCCAAGTAAAACATGTTCAAGATTGATTTAAACACTTGTTCATTTATTCCTTGAATGTTTAGTTTCATACGTGACCCAGAAGCAGAAGGAGATGGTGCTAATACCGAACACTATGAACGGAACATTCGGTAAAATGGAAAGGCATAATTTAATAACCACTGGCGTAGTTGATTCGTAATGCCAATAATAGATCAACACAACGAAGATGAGCGTGTATATTCCAAGGAATATGTATCTTTTGATCTGATACATCATCAGGCAACGATGCTTCGGTGACAATCCTATGTTTTCCATTTTTTGATCGTTTAATTCTACAAATGACACTACTGTCCGTAATTGCTAAAATATGAGACAATGTATCAAAGTTATAAACAAAGTTTTTTGTGTGAATATATATATATGAATTTTTGTTGCAAAGAAATTGAGGTTAACTTATCACAATTTCCTCTATTGTGCAAAATTTATATTTGAATTTATTTTCAGATCCAATAAAAAGTAATAACAGGAAGAAATTCGAAAAAGCGTTAAAAATCACCTTTGCTTTTATCCTGGTAATGATAATCAACAAGGCTATCGTCCAAATATTCGCGTGGAACATCCATTGAAATATGAAACGACTTAGCTCGAATGTGCTGATGACATAGAATTTGTCGTAATAAGGCAAAGTTAATTTATTGATGAAGTAAAGTATCACCAGATTGCATATCGTGTAAATATATTCGAGTATCTTCGAGGGTTTCTTTGCCTCGATACCGGTCAGACCCATGCCGAAGATGAAGTTTAATATCATCAACGGTTTGATGGTTTCTTTGAGAGTTTTCGACTCGTACATGGCGAATGGAAAATGGAACTGGATCAACTTAAACGCTTCACACCTTGTTTATTTTATTCATACATCATCGTATATTTACCCGACAGGTAGCAAGAGATCGTTATCACATCATGATTATCGTATAAGTAGTGCTGCTAAGTAATAACGAGCACAACAATTGCTCGTTCGTATCCGAATCGATATCGCGGTGAAAGTATTGTTAACAAGAATAATGGTTAATGATTAACTAGTCTATCGAATGGAAATGCGATTCAAGAATGTCTTAATAATATTGTAAAAGCGTTTTTCTGGACATGATCTTCCGCAAATCATGTTATATCTATTTCTGAAAAAAACCTGAAATTTTATTAAAAATAAATAATAATTATTTTGAATTTAAAATCAAATCAACATCAATTGGAAGAATATTTAATATTCACTATTTTTAACTGCATATTTTACATTCTTTTATTTATAATCTTATTAATCGACAACTATGAAAAATTATATTTGAACGTCGATCGAATTTTGATTCATCGTTTGAACGTTGCTCAAATTGTAACTCGTCACATTTTCCACTGAAATGTGATCTTTTATCGATGAATTTTGACTCCATTGTATCATGATAATAACGTAAGACAACATGAAACTTATACACTGAAAAAAAAAAAATTTTGTTAATAAACCATAAAAAAGAAAAAAAATCGTATAAAAAAAAAATCGTATACTAACATGGCGAATATAACAATAATTGATTTTATAATCAATCGTTTTTGATTTTTCAAGTCGTGTGTACGATATTTGAAAACAGAATTGAAGAAACTGTGAACAAATGAATTATTACGTTATGTTTTTTTCAACAAAATTTCACTCAACATATCAAACAATTAAATCTTATCCACCTCATTTTTTAATTCAATATCTTTTTTGTCCAAAGGATAC